ACCCGAAGTACAAACTGACTTTATGGCTCTGCATATTACGCTTTGGCACATCCAGCTGTTGTAAGGATGCCAGGACTTTTTGTAGGAGTTCATTGGTAAAAGTATGTGCAAAGCTGTTTTAAAAATTACTTCCAGACAGGTCAAGAATATAGAGATGAATTCATAAGAGAAATGGATGGTGTAACCCTAATGAGCAAGAAACAGTTCTTCAGAAATGGTGCCTTTTGGTTATCTGTAACAAATAGTTTTAATCAGTGGCTAAACACACCAGCCCATGAAATTTCTGGGTTTTGCATCAGTTCAATGTGAAATGATCTTTGTCTTTTAGGTCCATCTGACATGTCAGCAATTATGAAATTCAGCAAACCCACGTGTCCTGATGCCTCAGTAGCAGCAAGTCTACCTACACCTCCTGTACCAAGACACAGGAAGAGTCACAGCCTGGGAAACAAGTGGGTACCCCAGGCTGTCTCACACACAGGCAACTTCATGCATCACAAAGGTTTAAGATAGCAACAAAACACTCTGGTATTTGAGAACATTCTGGTATTTGTCCCTTCCATTTCTTGTATTGCAAGAGTGCTTCAGGCTTTACTGTGCATTTTCTAGGTTTTCTCTTGACACTTTGTTATTTTTGCTTACTCTGTTCTCTGCTAGTGCCAGACATTGGCAGTACTTGAAAGCTGTGTATCCACTTTGGTCTCTGGATTCCTGGTGTGCATAACTGATTTTTTGTTTTGTTTTGTTTTTTGAACATCTTCCTAATACATCTAAGGAAACTTCCTAGCTGCTTGGTGTGCCTTATCGTTCAGGAAAGTTGTGACCTTTTGCACTGTTTTACCTGGGTAATATGGATTAGAAACATTTTTCTCTACCATTTACCCAGCTAATTGAGAGCACCTACTCCCCAGTTAAGGTTTCGGCATCTACCAAATTTCACAATTAACGAGTTAGAGGAAAAGAAGTTGATGTGACTTCTCCAAGGTCATAGAGTGTTGATGTGTTAGTTCAGCTTAGTGAAGGACCACTAAGCAGTGGCTTAGCTGGGGTCTGCTTTTTCTCTAACTTTGCCTCCACCCAGGGTGTTCAGGTTTTATATGGCGAGGAGTCAACAAACTTAAAACTTCCCATTTGCAGAAACTTTAATAATTGTTACTTACAAAGACCAGTAAAATCTGAAACTTGTTTTGGTAGTCAGGGAGCATATGTACAGCAGAGGGAAGGTGTGAGCAGTACCGTTTAATAACCTATCGATAAGGCAAAGTCTGAGTGGCGCTATCAGGAGCCAAGGGATGCTATTAGATGACGTAAGAGGGGGTTTGCGTTTTCTCTTTCCAATTTTCCAGCATGATGTGTCAGCTCAGTGTGGTGGAGAGCAAAAGCGCCACCTTCCCGACGGAGAAGCCGCGCCACCTCCTGGATGACAGCGTCCTGGAGTCGCACAGCCCTGCCCGCAGCCACGCCCGGAACTCGCTTCTCGCCAATGGCCTTTCCATAGGTAGCGTCTCGGGGG